TTTTTCACTCCCTCAGAGGTGGGCTAAAGCTAAGAACAATGAGTTGTCTATGCCATCTGCTTCTCTTTAAATTAAATCCCTCCATTTTAAGGACTATAAGATAGTGTTTTTCAATACTGAGCATTTTAGGGAGGTTGAACTGTCAGTAAAACATATTACTGTCTGCTACTTTTGGTAAATGGAGATTGAACAACTTACTGAGTATACCCCATGTGAAGGTACACATAATCACCCCTCCCCCTCACACACACCCAGCCATTAATATCTTCCTTGTGAAATGTTTATGACTGTAATTGCTGCTGTGATTATATATTGTGTGAACTTGAAGCACGTTATTATACTGGGCAGCTAATGGAATTTAGCACAGAAATAGCTATTCTGGAAAAGACTTGAGTTTTGAATTGTATTCTTCCCTGAGTTTGCAGTGCATTTCATGGCTCATCTACCTCACAGTGTGCTTGTAGCTGATGGATTAAAATCTTTCTGCTGAATAGTAAACAGCAGAGTCAATTTAGTCGTTCCTTAGCTTGCTTATCTCAGTTCTCTCATCACTCATTCAAAATGTCAAAAATAAACTCTTGATTACTGTTGATTCACCTTTATGAGTACTGAGAAAGGGGGAAGTTTGTCATCTGTCAACACTTCAATTGGATGTATTTGGGGGGCTAGGAGTGTGATCTCCTAATGGGGGGCATTGTGTACCTTGAAAATGAAGGGGGCCTGTTAGTTCATTGTTCTTTTATTAGTCCAGGAAGCCCACAGGCCTTTGTGGACCTCAATACCCTTTCCATTGTGGGGTGAGCTTTGAAGTGAGAGAACCAAAATTTTCCTTCTTGCCTGACCGGTTTGGCTCAGCGGAGAGAGCGTCGGCCTGCGGACTGAAGGGTCCTGGCTTCGATTCCGGTCAAGGGCATGTACCTTGGTTGCGGGCACATCCCCAGTGGGGGGTGTGCAGGAGGCAGTTGATCGATGTTTCTCTCTCATCGATGCTTCTAACTCTCTATCCTTTCCCTTCCTCTCTGTAAAAAATTCAATAAAATATATTTTTAAAAAATTTTCCTTCTTTTGCTTTTCTAAAGATGTTATAAAGTAGAATGTAAAGGTTAGATAGTATAGCGTTTTCATCAAACAAAATGATTTCAGTGGTTGCTTACATTTCTGAATAACTAGAGACCTTTTACTTGTATAGGGTACAAGTTGATGCTATGGACATTTATTAGGAGTTGGTGGCTCTTGTTTTTCTTCAATTAAATCAAATTAAACTGAAATTGGGCATACTTTTATATTTAGTAGGTGTGATATTTCTATTTGACAGTTCTATTATATACAAATAGATGACCATTATAGATTCTTCATACAACATACAATAACATACAAGTAGCATCAGCATCACCTGAGAGCTTATTAGAGATGCACGTTCTCAGGCTGCCCCCGTCCCGTTGAACCAGAAACTGGTGGATGGCGCCAGCCAATGTGTATTTTAAGTCTCCCAGGGGACTGTCACGCAGGCTAAGGTTTGAGAAGTATGATCAGACTCATGTTATAGATGATAAAACTGATGCTGGGCATGGTATGGCGACTGGCTGAATACATAACTGGGTAATTTTAGGGCCCTTATTCAGACCCTTATTCTCCCTTAAAATCACATGACCTCTGTTTCTTAAAGGAAAACAGTAATTCATAAATGAATTGAAAAAGGGACCATTCCCCTGCTTTCTAATAGTGAGAGTGGTTTGTTTAAACTGTTAGCACAAGAAAATTAACCTAGAAAAAGTTTTAATGACAAAAGGAACAGTTTTGTGGTCCTGTGCATTGGGTTCCTCATTTTCTTTTTAGTGGAGGAGAGAATAGGATGCAGTGAAACCCCCGAGGGGTGGCTGCTGCATGTTAATAGAAGTGGGAGACACTATTTTAATCATCACTTTCTTGCCCAATGAGTCCACGGGCAGATTTCCCACCCGGGTCTTTCCCATGCTACATTACCCACATTGATAGAGCCCCATGGAGGTTTTCCTGCACACACAGTGTTATACGCTGGCGAGTTTCTCAGTCTTTGTGATGTCGAAATGAATCCCTCGGGCAGCTGGCATTAACTACCCCTCTGTGACTTGGGGAATGAGCATTTCCTCTTGAGCAGAAAGTAGAAAACAGCGTTCATTATGTGTAGTATAAAAGACTGTATAATGATGCCTGCTAAGATCTAGTTCCATGTGAACTCAATTTGGGCTTTGTGTGTATAAACAAACAAGTAAAATTTACGTCTATTGTTTGTTCAACTGGGAAGCATTTTCCTGAATAGAAAATGTTGCTATAAAATTGGAAAAATGCCTTGTGTATGTGTGTGGGTTTTTTTTTTTGCCTATATGTAAAACATCATGCAACATATATGAAAAGTGCATTAAACATAAACGTCAGCATTTTATGAATAATTATAAAGAGAACACACAGTTAACAACTGCTGAGTCTAGGAGTGATTGTGCTAACTCTCTAGGCACCTCTGCTGTGTATCTTGAGTGACTTGTAACCTCTCTGCATTTGCACCTGCTCTTTCCTCTCCCTGGACATCCCCACCCCCAAACACACAGAATTGTAAGACTGCAAAATTTCTTCCTAATTCTTATAAATTGGCTGAAAAGATGCCATAGCCCTTCATGTCCCATGTCTGCAGGGCACTTTGAGATGTCTCCTTTAGAGTATAAGAATTGGTTTTTTGCATGGGCATCTCAACACAGGTATCAGTTCTTTGTGGTTGTGTGTGTATGAGTGTGTGTGTGTGTGTGTGTGAGAGAGAGAGAGAGAGAGAGAGAGAGAGAGAGAGAGAGAGAGAGAGAGAGAGAGAGAGAGAGAGAGAGAGAGAGAGAGAGAGAGAGAGAGAGAGAGATTTCTCAGTACCTAGCCTGCACCTAACATACTACAGCATTCAGTTGGTTTGAGGGACTCAAACCAACATCTCCATAATGCACTATCATCTTGCCCAAAGTTTTGAGTCCCAGTGAGGAAGGTGGAAATCCCAGAGTTGTTTATAACTCCTCTATTTTCTTCTGTTAGTGCTACCTCCATACTATCACTCTCATCTTTCTTCCAAATACCCCTGCCTTTGGGCTCTCTCCTTTCTCAAATTTCCACTCAGTGTGGTCTTCAAGCTTAGTTCTTGTTTCTCCTCTTCCAACAAATGTTTTGGTTGATGTCACTGTAGAGGTAAAGAACCTGGACCAGAAGCACCACTTCCTCATGTCTGAGGACTTTATTATACACTAGGGGCCCAGTGCACAAATTCGTGCACCTTGAAAGGAATTGTGGGCCACGAGGCTGAAGTGAGCATGGGGCAGGTCTTGGCCCATCCTCCGTGCCCCCACCCAGCCCCTCCTGTCGTGGCCCCTGGCCCCCTGTCTGCTGGCAGCCCCGCTCCCACTCCCACACGCTGATAGCGCCCACCCTGCTCACACCCACTGGTGTCTTCCCCCTGGTGGTCAGTGCACATCATAGCAAGCAGTTGAGCAGCCTTAGCATATCATTAGCATATTATGCTTTGATTGGTTGAATGGCTGACCGGACACTTAGCATATTAGGCTTTTATTATATAGGATTTGCTTAAGTGAAGCCTTGAGTCCTGTGATCGATATTCTTGTTTTCTAATATTTATAAGGTGATCTTTAATATTGTGGATGGTGTGGCCTTATAGGAACCATGGCACCAGTTACTTTATCCTGCAAATTCCTTCCTGGCTTGTTACCTGTCCACCTCAGGGTATGGGAGGATTCCCACAGAATCACACACAACTGGGAATGGGTTAAAGAATAAAAAAATGGGGAAAAGCAAACTAGATCAATATGAGCAAAAGAAGAGAAGGCACTGGTTCTTGTCCTTCCTTCAGCCCACTGAGAGGTATGCTGTAGCATCTTTCTGTGTCATCTCCTATGACTTTTCTTCACATGTTCAGGGCCCCAGCAATGGAATGCTGAATGTTTCCCAGGCCAGTCCCATTTTGTGATGCCATTATGCCTTTCCTCTTACTGTTTCTTACTCCTGGAGGTCTCTCTGTTTTTCTCCTCCTCCCTACCCCTTTCTCCTGCAGTGTTCTCCTTCTCTAAGTGTTTAAAGGTCATGGATACCTCAAGGTTCTACTCAAACCTCTGGTGCTTTCTTTTCTGAATCTTTGCTGATGTTGTACCCTCCAGCTGAGAAAAGCCCCCTCCCTCCCCACCTCCCTTCTCCATGCTCAGTCACTCCTCCAGGGACTTTTCTCTGAGCCAATAGGGGAAAGCTCTCTTTGCTCTGCCGACCTCCATAGCAGTTAACTTTAAGTTTGACATTGACACTTTCTCCTTGATCTTCAATAAATGCATTTCTTAGTCTTCTATTTGATGGCAAGTCCATCCAGAGAAGCAATCATATATTTTGTCTTGTACTTTAGAGTAACTTGCATATTATAGGTCTTCAGAAATGTATAATAAATAAAGGAAAAGATCAAGGTATAAGGCATGTGTGCAAAAGGCTTGTGTTGGGGTGGCTAGGGGAGGCAGATTCATCTCCTTTACCATGGCCAGGTGAGCTGGGTATTCTGTGAGCTGTTGGGAGGAGCATCATCTTCTACCCTTTCCCCCTCATCCCTCACCCCACTCACATGGCCTCACTTACACCCAGAGTGACTCTTAAGATTATTTTTCAACAGGAAAACAAGAAGGCCAGATTCATCAGGACTTGGGAATGCCTTGTACAATAGACTAGGGGCCCACGCCACACATCATTATACCCACAATAGACTATATAGAATATATATTAACCTGAGTAGTTAAAAGTTTGCTATCTTTTTTTGTTCCCATTACAATTCAATAAATCATTAGTATAAAAGGAAAAATACCCCAACTTCTGAGAAAACTTCAGGCAGGTCTCAAGATATTATTTTTTTAAAGTGATGTAAATGAAAAGAGATCAAACAAAGAAAAGAAAACAAAGAGATCTGTGTGGATGCTTAACAGTTTCACATTTTTGCCTTCCAGGAGACGGAGCTGTTAGATCTCAGCCTTGTCAAGGATGCCAGATGTGGGAAACACGCCAAAGCTCCCAAGGTAGGAAGCGGAGCGCTGTGCCCGCACCAGATGCTGCCTTGATTATTTAGCTGTGTCATAGCGTCAATTAATTGCCCCAATTAAAAGTTTCTCTGTTGTAGATGTTGTAAAACACAATAAAGCAGCCGATCGTTCCAGAAGCCATGCCCTCAACACTTGCACTTTTGTTAAAAGACAGAAACCTTGAGCAAATATATAGGCAGTTGGATATAGGGGCTTGCTTTATTTTTGTTGGAATAAAATAACAATGCCAAACTTACTGAGCAATTCTACATAGCTAAAATGTGTTTGAAATTACCTGCAAAATTTCTTGAACCTCATAAGCATAAGTAATAGTATCTTTGACACACGATTAACAAGACCTGATACCTCAAATGCTTTGCAATTGAAATCATTCCATCTGTGAAGCCCAAAGGGTGTAAGAGTTCTTTCTGCACAGTTACTAGTGAAGACCAGCAGACCTGGGACCAGTGGTGTGGAATGTCAGTTTGTTTTGGTGTGAAAAACTCACTGAAGAAATATTCAACGCAGTGTTTGCACTTTCATTTTTTGAAGATTGTTTAAGCATGCTGAATAAGGAACAAAACATTTTTTTAACACAGATTATCTGGTAGGGTATAGCATGATATGTTGACTCACCATCCAAGTGGGAAATTAATTAATTAATTGGCGTGACACTGGTTAACAAAATTATACAGGTTTTGGGTGCACAGTACTACAACACATCATCTTTACACTGTATTGTGTGTTCACCACCCCAAGTACAGCTTCCATCCATCACCATTTGTCCCCCCTAAACCCAATTTTAGTTCTTTAAATACTTCCTTTCTAGCACAGAGAGTATTGGCAAATAGGGAAGTATAGGTGCCATTCAGTAGCTTTTGCCTCTTTCATGGAAATTGACATCAAACTAGCAATTTTCTATTTGAGTATCTGCCTGCAACTTTTGTCTTATTCTTTAAAAGTCAAAATAGTTTCTTTGAAATCAAAGAGTATCGTTATTTTATCTCTGGCAATGCGGGAAGACAAAAAAGTCACCTGTAATTATTCTTCTTCAGATATATAACAGCACAGCCCTTGCTTGCAAATTTTGCCATAGAGTAAGAACCCAAACGCTGCTTTCATTACTAAAAGGGGTTAACAATTATCTTCAGGAAAATGTGAGAAAGAAAAAGAAGGAAAAATCAAAGTTATTTTCAAGAAAGTTCCTATCGGTGTTTCCTGTGAAAACAGTATATTACTTCATTCATCTCAGTAATATTATGGAATTTCAGTAGTTTAGTTTTTCAACTTTGTAACATTAATGGTTTGTTGATGATTCAAAATTGTTCACAGTTTGTAGTGTAGGAAAGAATATTTTTTTCTTCTCCCAACAATATTTCAGCCAAGTTTCTTATAAGCCTGTTAGAGCTATATTGGTAACATTGTAATAAAGTTTGCCTTTTAATTCAAGTTTATTGGCCTGACTTGAAATTTCATTCTCAGTATTTGTTAAAGACAGTTGCCTACACTTTATCCCCCTCCCCATAGCCCCAGGCATCATGAGTCCAAGTCAGTTCCTCAGCTACACAGAGTCTCAGGCTTCATTTCAGTCTTTTTAATTGCAGCCCCCAACCTGCCTACCGGTTGTGCTTCATGTATGGATGTGGTTTGATAAATGGCTATGGAATGATGACAAATGAACAGAGCTGTGCTCAGCTGATAAACCGCTATTAGATCCTAAAATGCATCTCTTGAAGACAGTCTTAGACACTAGGAATACTCTAGCTTTTGCTGCATTTCCACCAAAGACTGCTTTCTCTGTGGATTTTCCATGTTCTTCACTCTTGCCCCTTTCGATTTCTTGCTGGTTTTCAAGAACCTCAATCGACTGTCATATTTTCAAAGCTGGGTTCTGTGGCATATTATGTGTGACCTTCCTGAGACTCAGAGTTCTTCCTCATTGGTTAAGTCATGATATTATTACTAGTAATAATGATGATGATGATAGATGAGTATTTTATATCATTGCTATAAGGATTAAATGATAATTCACTAGCAAAGCTTTAGCAGAGGAGTTCTTAAATTTATCTGCCCCTGGAACGATCTGGAAAACTTTTTAAAAAAATGCTGATGCCTGTTCTCCACCCCCAGACATTCTGGTGGTGGAAGAATTTAATTGATATAAGTGTGGCATGCACATCAGTTTTGAAAAGTAAATTTGCAGCAAAATTTGAGCACCACTGCCTTAACTTATCGCTACTATATAATAAATCCTCACTAAATATTAACCACTCTTGTTGGTATTATTGTCATTATTTTTGTATATATTATTATTAAAAGCTTCATGTTGGATTTGCATTTGGTTTTCATTTTGCTCACTTAACTTGGAAAAGTTTCTTATAAAGAGAAATTGGATCAGGGGCTTGGCTGAAAGGGCTTTTGTGGATTGACGGGGAAGAAATAAGCTGCTAATCATATCAGTTTAAAAATCTTTAAGTGGTAAAAGAAAACCCAAGCTCAATTGGATAAATAAAAACAGAATTTATTAAAAATGATTGGAATGTATTGAAGATTTCAGTGGGAGTGATGGATTTAGGTGATGTCTCATTTAGCTGCTCAAAACATGTCATGGCCCTGACTGGTTTGGCTCAGTGGATAGAGCGTAGGCCTGCGGACTGAAGGGTCCCAGGTTCGATTCCGGTCAAGGGCATGTACCATGTTGCCGTCACATTCCCAGTAAGGGGTGTGCAGGAGGCAGCTGATCCATGTTTCTCTCTCATCGATGTTTCTGACTCTCTATCCCTCTCTGTAAAAAAATCAATAAAATATATTTAAAAAACAAACAAAAAAAACCAACATGTAATGAAGGTAGACATGACCAAGCTGGCATCCAAGGTGCTGAAAGGGATGCCTTCTAGCCTGGGGACCCTCATAAGGGGGCATCTTCTGCAGGCCACTCTGGCAGATCCTGGCTTCCCCAGCAGCATTTCTATAAGGCAAGGACCAAAGAGAGAGGAGCTCCCTCTGGAGTATTCCAGAATGATTGCAGAATAACCACCTCACAGAAGGAGGTGCAAGGCCCGAAGGAAGAAAACTAAATAAGAGAAGACCATGGAGTTGACTAGAAGGAAAGCAGAGGGACTAGCAGTGGAAGATTAGAAAGTGTAAAGGCATCAGTATGGAGTGAGAAAAGCTTAGAATCTTAGGGCGGAAGGCAATGCAAAGGAAGACAGATTGCCTAGAAGACTTTCTGTGGGGGCTCACAGACCATAAAAGAAGACCATTTGTGGAGCAGAAATTATTTATCAAAAGACCCAGGCACCTCGCAAATATTTATCTACGCATTCGTATTATTTCTGTTTTTCACAGCTTCTTCTTATATAAAAATTCATGATCTAGTTGAGATGAACTGTTTTCTGTGCCTGCTGTGATTTGAAGTAACATTTGTAAGAAATGGAAAAGCTTCTATGCGTTACTCAGTTAATGGATTTTAAATGTCAACTCCCAACACAATACATAAACTCCCGATAGGATTTTCTGCATACGGCCTTTGTTCATGTTACCAATTTTGAAATTTTTCAAATTTAAAAAAAAGAAGATCGGTTGGGAGATTTTTATCCAAAGGTAAAAGCTAAATGTTAAAGACATCTATCTTGTCCTTTGAAATCTAACATTTTTTTTTATGTTTCCTTTCATGTTCTCACTCTTTCTCCCTCCCTCTCAAGCTGATGAGGGACAGGTAGAGGTCAAGGTGCTATTGTAGTACATCTCGTCTATGCTATAGACTAGCAATTTTCAAGCTTTTTCATCTCCTGACACACATAAACTAACTACCAAAATTCTGCAGCACACCCAATAATATCTTATATTTTTTGCCAATCTGAAAAAATGTATAACTTTGATTAATTCACACCACACGGCTATTGCTACATTGGCTGTTGTCATTTTTTTTTTATTTGATAATCTAAGGGAAAAGAGCTCAGTGACTCTGACTAAATAGTCAGGTATTGCATGTTTTAAAAATTCATGTGGTTAGAAATCACTGCTGTAAACACATGCTCTCTAGATCTTCATTTCAAAAGGATCTTTGCTGTTTAAGAAGAGAGTTTATCACTATGGTTTCTGATCTACTAGTGGTTCCTGACCCTGCAGATCAATTTAGTGGCTCATGGGCAGAACTAATCAAATGGAATATGCCTGACTAGAATGAAAAACATCAGTGTCTTATGCAGAGCAAGGTGTTTTGTGAAACTTTTTTTTCATGTACTTGAGTGTGTGTTCTGGGTCACAGCACAAAGTGTATGGTTTTGCTATCGGCCATGTCAGAAAGGTTTCAGAAATGATGCTGGCAAAGAAAGTTTCTTTATCCTCAGGATTCTGAGGAAGTATTTCAACCCAAGATGTATTGAACAGTAAATGGGAATGGAAAAGGCTAGATAGGGGCTCGGTGTCAAGCTCTGCCATTAAGGAGCTTAAGAAAGTTGTTCTTTCATTTTGTGCCTCTACTTCCTCATCTATGAAGTTGGGGGTGAGAATACATGATGGTAGGTATATGCGTTCTGTCGACCCTTGGTTCCAACTAAAATGAGAAGTTAATCAAGTCAAGGCACTCCGTCTTACAGATTATAAAATCCATGTCCAGCAGGTTTGCCTTGGTCATAGCAAAGCAGGTGAACTTAAAAAACCAGGTCACAGTCTAAGCAAGGTAAGGAGCTATGCAAACAAAAAGAAAAGAAAGGACAAAAGGCTTCTTGAAAGCAATTCTAGGTTGGCTTAGCGGCTCTTCCAGTTTTTAGTACATGAAACTCAACGCTGCAGACATTCAGCTCTCCATGCTTGCAGCAATATCATTGAAGGATAGTTCTGTAGTTTTACTTTCAAACTGTGTTTGGGCAAAGAAAACTGCTCCATATGCTGAGCTGACAATTAACCAGTGCATTCTGTTGGCAAAGGACAGTTTCTTGCAGATGTGTGATGTTCCTTTGAATACGGATTCCTTGTAAATATCCATGTCACAG